TCTGTATTGCACACAGCGCAACCCGCTTTCTGTATTGCACACAGTGCAACCCCCTCTCTGTCTTGCACACACCGTAACCCCCTCTCTGTATTGCACACACACACACCACAGCCCGCTCTCTGTATTGCACACAGCGCAACCCGCTCTCTGTATTGCACACAACACGGCACACACTCTCTGTATTGCACACACCACAGCACACACTCTCTGTATTGCACACACCACGGCACACACCACAGCACACACACTCTGTATTGCACACACCACAGCACACACACTCTGTATTGCACACACTATTGCACACACTCTCTGTATTGTACACACCACAACCCACTCTCAGTATTGCACACAGCGCGGCACACACTCTCTGTATTGCACACACCACAGCACACACTCTCTGTATTGCACACACCGCGGTACACACTCTCTGTATTGCACACACCACAGCACACACTCTCTGTATTGCACATACCGCGGCACACACTCTCTGTATTGCACACACACTCTGTATTGCACACACCGCGGCACACACTCTGTATTGGACACCGCGGCTCAGACTCTGTACTGCACACACCGCGGCACACACTCTGTATTGCACAAATTGCGGCACACACACTCTGTATTGCACACACCACAGCACACACACTCTGTATTGCACACACCGTGGCACACACACTCTGTATTGCACACACCGCGGCACACACATATTCTGTATTGTACACAAATCATGCACACACACACTTATATTGCACACACCTGCACACACACTCTGTATTGCACACACCGCGGCACACACACTCTGTATTGCACACACTCTTTGTATTGCACACACCGCGGCACACACTCTGTGTTGCACAGACTGCGGTGAGTGCTCTCAGTATAAACCAATCTGTAACAATTATAAATAATTTCTAGTTACCTGATGCTTTCGGCTTCTGTCGCCTCAAATTTTGATATATATTCTTGCATCTCGTGGAGATCACGCTCTGTTAGTATGTTCTCTCTAATCTCCCCGTGTTCCGGTGTCTCGTGGAGATCACGCTCTGTTAGTATGTTCTCTCTAATCTCCCCGTGTTCCGGTGTCTCGTGGAGATCACGCTCTGTTAGTATGTTCTCTCTAATCTCCCCGTGTTCCGGTGTCTCGTGGAGATCACGCTCTGTTAGTATGTTCTGTCTAATCTCCCCGTGTTCCGATGTCTCCTGGAGATCACGCACGGTTAGTATGTTCTCTCTAATCTCCCCGTGTTCAGGTGTCTCGTGGAGATCACGCACGGTTAGTATGTTCTCCTTCATGTTTCTGTGATCCAGCTCTTGATCCATTTCTGTTGCTTCAGCTCCTGAAAAAAAAGCACCAAAATGAAATTGCGTTAGTTGCATTACCTGGAGAACTACGCCATGTCTGTATGTTTTCATGGCTGCTGAGAGAACAGATACACTATGCTGAGCCACACAACAACATTTATCCGCTGGTGAGGCAGCAAGGGAATCAGGGGGATGGCTTCCGAAATATATCACAGGGCTTTAAAAGGTTCCTCTGCGGCCCCTGTACATCCCGCTATGGTGGCTATGATGCTAGGAGTACCCTGGCCCGATTACCCAGTCATTTCCCGCCTTACCTGTACATCAGCTGACTGCTCTCCTCTGTGAAGGAATGCACACGGACATTAGCCAACCCGGAATTTTATTATATCATTAAAGGGGACATGCCAAGCACCAAAACAACTTTAGCTTAATGAAGCAGTTTTAGTGTATTAGATCATGTGCCTGCAGCCTCACTGCCATATTTATTATTACATCATAAGCATTTAATATTTTATAAGGAGATCATTATTTAGATTATATTGAGATAATTCGAATTACAGTGGGACCTCGGTTTACAAACGCCTCGGTTAACATCATTTTCGGTTTACAATTGAAAATCCATTGAAAATAATGCCTCGGTTTACAATTTATTTTCACAATACAAAGCAAGTTTCTCCAGGATTATTATTATATAAGGTTATATTATTATTATTATTATTATTATTATATAAGGTTATATTATTATTCTTTTTCTTATTATTATTATATAAGGTTATATTATTCTTCTTATTATTATTATTATTATTATTATATAAGGTTGTATTATTATAGAAAGTTATATTATTATTATTATTATATAAGGTTATATTATTATTATTATTATTATTATATAAAGTTGTATTATTATTATTATTATTATATAAGGTTATATTCTTCTTCTTAGTATTATTATTATATAAGGTTGTAGTTATTATTATTATATAAGGTTGTATTATTATATAAAGTTATATTATTATTATAGAAAGTTATATTATTATTATTATTATTATAATATAAGGTTATATTATTATATTAAGTTATATTATTAAATAAGGTTGCAGTTATTATATAAAGTTAAATTATTATTATACAAGGTTGTAGTTATTATTATATAAGGTTATGTTATTATTATACAAGGTTATATTGTTATTATTAATTATTATATAAGGTTTTATTATTATTATTATTATTATTATTATTATATAAGGTTATATTATTATTATTATATGAAGTTATATTATTATATAAAGTTATATTATTATATAAGGTTGTAGTTATTACATAAGGTTATATTAATATTATATAAGGTTGCAGTTATTATATAAGGTTATTGTGGCAAACCTAGCCACTTGTAATAATCTGGACTATGTATATAAAAAGGTTGCCTGTATTATTCCTGTAACTCTTGTATTGCCTGGCCGTATCCTGTGTGTTATTATATGCTGTTTTGAATTCGTATGCTAGCTGCCGTAAGCCGCTAGCATTCATGGGTTTCGTTTCACGAACAGCACCATTGCGGGCTGTTCGTGAACCAAATGAGCTACCCCCTAATAGCCCACACAGAGAGGGACGTGTGGCGCTCGTTAACCGATTGCAACAATGTTTCAATTGGTAATTAGAGGCTTTCCTGGGTGGCCGTCGTTCGGCTACCAACCACGCGGCGGTCGGCCATCTTGGATCCTTTGTCTCCCCAGCGATGTTTGGTCGTCGAGCGCGTAGAACTGAAAACGGCTAGTCGACGGCGCGAACACCGCTGGGCTTCCAGGACGTTCGGGAGCTCCGGTCTTTTGCTATTAGGGTTCCCCCATCGGTGTTCGGTACTTTGGGGCGAACTCAATGGCAAAGTGTGTTTCGTGCGGCGTTCGGTTGTTTTAGCTGGGATCTGAGTGGTATTCTCACGAACTGTGCACTCAGACCCCAGCTATCTACCGAACGTCCATTCGTTTAAATCTGCCAAGTATTCGAAAAGTTCTGTATTTAAAAGTGAATTGTCGGTTCTGCTGCACGGAGGGATAATCCACTTAACGGTATAATCCAGTGGGAGTATCCCTCTCGTGCAGCAGTGCCTGATGGGAGAAATGCCCAGAATGTTAAATCCCCCATGTAGTCCCCTACTGTGTTACCCCTGCTATGTCAGTAGGGAAACCCCTTGCATGGGGACTTGCATAAATACTGGATGCTGTGAATAAAAACCTCAGTTGACTCCCAGAACTGTGTTTCGTCCGGTTACTGGGGGATTTGGGATATTGCCTTACTTTTCAGCGCTTGACTGTGGATTACCTTCTTTACCAGCGGAGTTCGTGGGATTTAATATTGCCACTCCGCTACAATTGGTGGCAAGCGACGGGATCCAACCTTACAGCCGAAACGCGCCGTTTGGATAAAGAGAAACTACCGAACGAGAAAAGGGAATGGCAATTCGTATACAGCAGACAACCGAAAGAGAAAAGTGAATGGGGACGGATTACACTGCATTGAAAAGGCAGACACTAAAGGAACTGCTGGAAGCCAGGGGAAAGATAGCCAGCAACAAGCCGAAAGCAGTGCTGATTGCCGAGCTGATGGAGGGAGACAGAGCCCACAGTGTTACACCCCCACCAACCATGGGGGAAACTCTATATCAAAAGGAGATGAGAACCAGGATGGAGTTTCTGCTGCAGCCAATACCCTTGGAAATATTGACCGTGCTGATGGCGGATGTGCAGCAGTATGTGATGGCACACAGTCCGCAGGAGACACTGTCCAGGGAAGAATCCATTACTGCCACCGTATACAGCCAGGTAAAACCCAAAATCCCATACCACGCCTTTAAAATGTTTTGTGAGGAGAAGGATGAGATTGATGGGTATTTACAGGATTTCGAGAGGCTGTGTGATAACTGGCAGGCAAATTGTCAGGGCGGGCAGCAGAAGCCTATCGCGCTGTACTCAGAGAGGACAGCAAGGATTATAACAAAGTAAAACGGGTGATACTGGAAAGATATGCCATTACCCCGGAGGCATATCGGAGCAAGTTTAGAAGCTTGCGCAAACCAGAGAAGGATTTGCATGCCGAGTGGGCACACAAGCAAGCCAAGCCACCACTATGGAGGAGTTGCGACAATTGATGCTGTTGGTACAATTCTTTAATGGCTTGTCCCCAGAGGCACAAGAATGGGTGAGAGACCGCAAACCCCTCACCCTAACTGAAGCGGCCTGATTAGCAGACCAGCATTTTGATGCAAGGAGGCATCACAGGCACCTAAATAGGAATTACCCTCGACCCACTGTGCAGCCCAGTACAGTGACACCTAAAGCCGCCCCAGCAACACCGTTTCGACCAACCCAGGGGAACCAACCTCCACCCTTCCGGTATAATGGCAGGGCTAACATCCAATGCCATACCTGCCGGCAGTGGGGACATATGTCTCGAGAGTGCACGCAGAACAGGAGTCGACAAGCATGGAACCAAGTCAGACAGAACCCGGCACCCAGGGCCACCGCACATCATTATCAAGTAGAGCCAGCCACCCAGGAGATACTGAGTACTCAGGCCGAAGAACCCCTGGGACTACTGCATGAGGTAATGTCGGTCCAGGCTACTGACAACCGACAACATCACCGTCAGCGGTTGACACTAGAAGGGAAAGAAGTGCAGGGGCTCCGAGACTCGGGAGCCACCCTAACTTTGGTAGCGCCCCATTTGGTACCAGGGTCAGCACACATCAGGTAAGAAATATATTTTGACCGTAGTGGACTACGCCACCCGGTATCCCGAAGCCATCGCCCTCTCTAACATTCATGCCGAAACTGTGGCCGAGGCCTTAATGAAAATATTCTCCAGGGTAGGGTTTCCCCAGGAGATAATATCTGATAAGGGTACCCAGTTCACCGCAGAGGTCACCCAACAACTGTGGAAGATATGTGGCATTAAGCCGATAGTAAATTCAGCATATCACCCGCAGTCCAGTGGGTTATGCGAGAGGTTTAATGGTACCCTGAAGCAGATGCTCCGTACGTTTGGAGAGGCCCATAAGGACTGGGAGCGATTTCTACTCCATCTGCTCTTCGGTTATAGAGAAGTACCACAGGAGTCAACAGGATTTTCCCCTTTTGAGTTGTTGTTTGGGAGAAGGGTGCGAGGACCATTAGATCTAATTAGAGAATGTGAAGAAATGACTCCGTTAATCAGGATTTCTACCTTTTGTTGTACAGTTAATTCACCAAACTCAGCTGGAATTCGGCATATAGCTTTCATTTCTACCCTTCGGATGGATTCAGGCGAATTCCCTGTGTAAAATATAGATGGCCGCCATTTCGGCACTTTACACGTGGCCGCGGCCATTTTACGTGCGAACAGCGGTGTTTGCCCGTCAACGCGTGGTACTAAAATCGGATACGCAAACAGGCGAACACCGCTGAGACCTCCATACATCCAGAACTTCGCACGGGAACGACCGAATCACCGGCCGTTCGGTAGTTACATGCAACTTCGTATGGGGATTTCAACGATCACAAAGATGCGAATGGATGGCAGGGCTTTCGTCTCTTTTATTCGCCTAAACGGAGACCGACCGCAGGGCCAAAACTTATGGAACTATTTTCGGCTAGATGGTCCGTGCGGTCGGTCAAAACTTTAGTGTTCCATAACTCCCGAACCATCCATCCGAATGGACTGATTTTTTGATATGTTGTCCCCACAAATGAGAACTATCCAGCGGTACCCAATTTAAAGGTGTACCCCCTGTTTTTGGGGTACATCCAGAACTGGGGTAAAATAGTGCACGTTTTAATTAAGTTAACTGTTTATCAGAGGGGAGGGAGGTATGGGCTGTAACCTATACCTGATTGGTGATTTAATGCCTCCCCCTGGGTGTGTACTTCTTGTCTGTAACCTTAATAAAAAGCAGGCTGGAGATTCCAGACCTCAGATCTACTTGTATCCTGATTCTGGACTCTGACTGTTATTTGGGAATTCGTATGCTTTACCAAGGGGATTATCTTGGGAAGCTGTTATATTTCTTATGGACTTCATTGCTTAGAACTACCTTAGACGCTGGCATTGCAGGAGGAATTATCAAAGCGGTTCAGCTATACTTGATTTCCTTACAACTGGTGGCAAGCGGAGGGATTCGAATCCCAAATGGACATTTCAAAACAAGCAAAGGAATGAATGGCTCAGCAGTACCAGCTACTTAAAAGAACCACGCTAAAGGACTTACTGGAAGCTCGAGGCAGAGTGGCAAGTAACAAAACAAAAGCCACGTTAATTGCGGAGTTAATGCAGAGCGATAATACCAGTAATATAGAGATGGATCAAGAGGAAGAAACCGTGATGCAAAAGGACATCCGATGGACACTCAGTTTATTGGGACCCAATCCATCCTCAGAGGCAATACTGCAGGTCGTAGCACAAGCCAGACAAGCGCAAAAAGAGCGAGATGACCGGGACAGATCGTCACAGGGGGATTTGCTACACTCCCCGAGAAGTATTGGGGAAATACCAAAGAAGGTAAATTATGCAGCGTTCAAATCATTTGTTGACAATGAAATGGAAATTGACAGTTACTTGCAAGACTTTGAACGTCAGTGTGCACTGGAGGGATTAGACTCCACCAAATGGGCTGCAGTCTTCAGCAGTAAATTGTCAGGTAGAGCAGCCGAGGCGCTGCGAGCAGTACCTGAGGGGGACATACATAATTATGAGAAAATAAAAGACATTTTGTTGGCCAGATATGCGGTAACTCCGGAGGCATACCGGAAAAAGTTTAGAGACCTGAGAAAGACTGGGAGAGATTCCCATACGGAATGGGCTTTTCGCCTGCAGCGGGCAGCCCGCAATTGGATGAAGGGCTGCCAGGCAACCACCCTAGAAGAAGCTTTGCAACTAGTGATACTGGAGCAATTTTTTAATCATACTGCAGAGGACATAAAAGACTGGGTAAAAGATAGGAAACCAAAAACCGTGGAGGAGGCCGCTAGGCTAGCGGACGAGTACCAGAATAACAGGAGGAAGGAGCAAGGGGCGAGCAGACCACCATTTAAGCCTCAGTACACAGCTCCAACAAACCCGGCTCCACCTAGACCTGCCATAGGTAACCCCCCACCGAACCCAGCAAACACACCTCGACCTCCTGCAGTGTGTCACTACTGCAAGCAACCAGGACATTACAAGTATCAGTGCCCTCGCTTAAACCGGGGAAGCTGGGAACGGCCAGCCCCACAACAACCCAGGGCAGCTGCTCACTGTGTGCAACAGAAACACACAGGCCCTGCCCTTAACCACGAAGAACAGTGGAGCGTATTACATGAGGTCAATCCAGTACAAGCTGGGGGGGACAACCGGGACCACCACCGCCAATGGATTACCGTCGATGGCGTGGGGGCCCGGGCGCTGAGAGACTCTGGGGCTACTTTGACTGTGGTACAACCCCACACGGTCAGAGCACAAGCTCGCACCGGACGCACAGTCGCTGTAAGGGTGGCTGGGGGCGCTATTCACAAACTGCCCACCGCTAATATGCTTGTTGATTGGGGTTCCGGGTCTAAACAACTGGAGGTGGGGATTATGCAAGAACTGCCCGCCGAGGTTTTGTTGGGAAATGATGTGGGATGCCTAACCTCTCAACTAGCCCGAGACCCCCCTGCCGAGGCCTACCCGGTTACCACCCGAGCTCAAGCCAGACTGGAAGCTCCGCTGCACTCTGAGGAAAACCAGGTAAGATTCGAAATACCTCCCTTACCCGATCCCCCCGTACCCTTCTGGGATACCCCCCAGGGGTTTGAACAGGAACAGCGTACTGACCCCACATTAGAAGGCTATAGGAAGGCCGCGGCCGCTACCCCCGAGAACAACCCGCACGAAAAATTTGAGTGGTATAAGGGGTTGCTATATAGGGTAACCGAGGGGGTGGGACAGGGGGCTACCCAGGTCATAAAAAGACAGTTAGTTGTGCCCCGTAAATTTCGGGCTGAGTTGTTAAAACTCAGTCATGACATTCCCCTAGCAGGACATTTAGGGGTCAAAAAGACCAGAGACAGGTTAACTCAAACCTTCTTCTGGCCCAGAGCCACCCAGGACCTTAAGTACTATTGCAGGACATGTGATGTATGCCAAAGGGTAGGGAAAAGGGGAGACCTTTGGAAGGCTAAGCTGCACCCCCTACCCATCATCGAACAGCCCTTCCACCGAGTAGCGGTGGATTTAATAGGACCCCTCAGTCGCCCCAGCCCGTCGGGCAAAAAGTTTATCCTAACGGTGGTCGACTACGCCACTAGATACCCGGAGGCAGTCGCCCTCACCAATATAGAGGCCGAGACCGTGGCAGAGGCCCTTATTCAGATATTCACCCGAGTAGGTTTCCCGCAGGAGATACTCTCCGATCGGGGGACGCAGTTCACAGCTACCCTGACGCAACAACTGTGGCAGAGCTGTGGAGTGCAACCCCTGTTCAGCGCCCCGTATCATCCCCAGACTAACGGGCTCTGTGAACGTTTCAATGGCACTCTAAAACAGATGCTAAAAACTTTTACAGAGTCCCACAAGAATTGGGAAAAATTCCTTCCCCACCTTCTGTTTGCCTACCGTGAGGTGCCCCAGGCCTCCACTGGGTTTTCCCCCTTCGAACTCCTGTACGGGAGAAAAGTTCGGGGCCCACTGGAGCTCGTACGGGAACACTGGGAGGGCAATACAGATGAGGGGGGAGTCCCTATCGTCCAGTATGTCCTGGAGTTCCGGGACCGTCTGCGGGCCCTCACCGAATCGGTTCGGGAGAACCTGCAGGCGGCCCAGGAGGACCAGAAAAAGTGGTACGATAGGAGGGCCCAGGATAGAGTGCTGGACTTAGGGCAGAAGGTACTGGCTCTGAGGCCAGGTAAAAAAGACAAGCTGCAAGCAGCCTGGCAGGGAACCTTTAAGGTAGTGGAACAGGTTAGCGAGACTACCTACATCGTGAGCAAATGCTCAGATGAAAGGCTGACCAAAGCCTTCCATGTGAACATGCTCAAACCATATTTTGAAAGAACAGAGGAGGTGGGCGCCGTGTGCGCCCTCGCCACAGAGGATAGTGAAGGGCTACCCCTTCCTGACTTACTGGATACCACCCCCTGTACTATTGACCAAGTAAGCTTGGGTCAAAATTTAGACCTCCTGGAGAAAAGGGAGGCTACTCAACTGCTGCAGGGATACCGAGAGATGTTTTCCGCTACCCCCGGCTATACCTCCGCTGCGGTACACCGTGTGGAAACCCAGGGAGAGACGCCCCTACGGCAACAGCCATATCGGATCCCGGAAGCAGTACGTGAGAGTATGCTCACCGAGTTAAGGGATATGTTACGGCTAGGGGTAATAGAACCCTCCCAAAGTCCTTGGGCCTCCCCGGTGGTACTAGTACCGAAGCGCGACGGCACTACGCGCTTCTGTGTAGATTACCGGAGGCTTAACGACCGTACCATAACCGATGCCTACCCCATGCCTAGAATAGATGAGCTCTTAGACCGTATGGCGGGGGGGAACTACTTGACTACTCTGGACCTGTGCAAGGGTTATTGGCAGATCCCCTTGGAGCCTGCGGCCATCCCCAAGTCGGCGTTCGTCACCCCTTTTGGGCTATACCAATTCAAGGTGATGCCCTTTGGGATGAAGAACGCCCCGGCTACGTTTCAGCGGATGGCGGATAGGCTCCTGGAGGGGTTTCAGGACTTCGCATGTGCGTATCTAGATGATATTGCCATCTATAGCCGCACATGGGGAGACCATCTAGGTCATGTGTCCAGGGTACTCGAACGAATCCACCTCGCAGGGCTCACTTTGAAACCCGACAAATGTCACGTAGGCCTAGCCGAGGTCCAGTATCTAGGCCACCGGGTCGGCTCCGGTAGACAACGCCCAGAGCCCGCTAAGGTAGAGGCCATAGCTAACTGGCCCCAACCCCGGACCAAAACCCAGGTACTGGCTTTCTTAGGGACGGCCGGGTATTATAGAAAGTTCGTCCCAGAATATAGCGCCCTGGCCAAGCCCCTCACGGACCTTACCAAAAAGGCTCTTCCCAAACAGGTCTCCTGGACCCCAGAGTGCACGGACGCTTTCCAGAAGCTCAAAGCGGCATTGAGTGAGGCCCCTGTGTTGGCAGCACCCGATTACACTAAACAATTTCTTGTCCACACAGATGCCTCCATGTTTGGGCTGGGAGCCGTGCTAAGCCAGGTGGGGGCGGATGGCATGGAACACCCGGTGGCATACCTCAGCCGTAAACTTTTGCCCCGAGAAGTCAGCTATGCCACCGTAGAAAAAGAGTGCTTGGCCCTCGTGTGGGCCCTCAAGAAACTTCAGCCCTATCTGTATGGGCGAGCGTTTACCCTTATGACCGACCACAACCCCCTGGTATGGCTCAACCGGGTAGCTGGTGACAACCCCAGGCTA